ATTCATCGCTCCGTTCAGAATCTAAAATCAACATTATGGCCCTAAATTATTTTTATGGGTATGATTATTTATGATATTCATTAAATTTCTACCTTTTTCATTAAAAATATATAAAATTATCTAATTTCAGCTATGACCATTTCCTTAGGGTATACAAGAAGAATGGACATCCCCAAAATTATTAAAGAGAATTCGTTGAAGAACACAAACAATAATATTAAATTAACCAATTGTATAATTTCTTTTTACACAAATTATCCGTCATACCTAATCAGTGACTTAGGCACTCAATACCTTTATTATTTTCATCATAATATAGTCTTATTTTTGTCATACCTATATATTATATTTCAAAATTATATTATACACTACCTATACATAATTGTTATATTGGAAATATACTTATTCATCGAGTTCTTATATCATTACAATGATGTGATGTGAGTGTTGTGACGATAATCTGTGTAAAAAGAAATAATCGAATTGGGTCGAAATGGGTTTTTATACTTATAATGTCTACTTAACYAAAAAGTTATAAGCAACTTTCGAACAGTCTTGTTGCATACTAATACTTTTATTTATATACTATTATGTAATAGATATGTTTAAATATAATATATTTATACTTTATAATGCTTATTTTTACTGTTTGAAATAATTCCATTAACATAAAAGTGGAAATCTATAGAAACTTCTAAAAATATATTCACGGTACCTGATGATCGTTACACCCGTTGTTGTTGTTGTTGTTGTTAGTACCGGGAACATTCTGGTTGCAGTCGAGTCCGAAGCATTCGTTCTGGTGATTTTTCGATTGCAATTGTTTTGGATCCACGCAACGTGTACCGGTGCTGTCGAGCTTGTAGTACTTTGGACACAGACACCTGTAACTTCCCAATGTATTGACACAATTTCCTGGCGACGGGCATAAGTTGGGTTCTTGCCGACACTCGTCGATGTCTACACGAGAACAAAGTCGTCATTCAAGTCAATCTTCCAAATAATGTAATGATTATTAAATATATTATATATATGTAATATATACATATATAGGAAATAGGTTGCTATAATGAAATGTTCGACGCCT